GTGTTCTCCAAACTCATCAGGCATTATAGGAGAAAACTCAGAGCTGTTATCTTGGGAAAAGGACGTTGCAATAATTAGGTGCCAATAATTGTGGCCAATGTGAACTAGAGAAAAACATTTATTTCATAGAGAGATTTTCCCCTGACTTTCCAGTGATTTACTTCAATGACAGGTTAGAATTTTGTGATTTAAAAAAAATTTTTTTTATGAAAGATCAAAAAGATAAATGATGCAGATTTATTTTCACAGCCACCTTTGCTCATATTTACCAAGGGTGCCAATATTAGTGGAGGGCGCTGTAGTTGACCAAAAATGAACATTCTGTCATCATTTACACACCCACAAGTTCTTTCAAACCTGTATGAGTGGTTTTCAATGACAGGTTAGAATTTTGTGATTTTTAAAAAAAATTTTTTATGAAAGATCAAAAAGATGAATGATGCAGATTTATTTTCACAGCCACCTTTGCTCATATTTACCAAGGGTGCCAATATTAGTGGAGGGCGCTGTAGTTGACCAAAAATGAACATTCTGTCATCATTTACACACCCACAAGTTCTTTCAAACCTGTATGAGTGGTTTTCTTCTGTTGAGCACAAAAGAAGATATTTTGAAGAATGTTGGCAACCAAACAGGAGAAAGAAGAAAGAAACTCATACAGGTTTGGAACAACTTGAGGGTGAGTAAATGATGACAGAATGTTCATTTTTGAAAACTATCCCTTTAAAGACAGGACTAATGTGAGCTACAGTGTTGTTAATCGAATGGTATGTGCTTTTGTTGAAGCTACCAGCCTGCATTATTTCCACTTATATTGTAAATAATTTTCAGCTGCAGAATTCATGGTGGAAAAACTTAATTACCCATGATTCTGCAGCGAAATCGCCACCAGTTAGAGAATCACAACAAGCAAATTGCACCAAAAAAGCACTTTAGCGCCCGTCCACTCCCAAGAAGCACTTTGAATGATGTTCCTAATGCTCCCAAGCTACTTAAATACTTGTATGCATAATATGCATATTTTGCAATAAATTAGAATTTTTGTTTCTCTGTATATAACCAACATATTTAAATCAACAGTTATATGTTTCTCTTATTTTTCGCAGTGCTTCACGGGATTGTAGTTCTTTCCCTCATTAAAGCTGTTAAATACACAGCCTTGTAACTTTGTCTTTTTTCTGATTTTCAAATACATTTTTACTTCAAATCAAAGTTTGTCATGTTGCAATTCACCTCATAGCTTATAACTCTTAAAGACTTTTTTTCTAAATCCCTATGGGAAAAACACTTGCGTATCCAAGGCCGATGAAATAGTGGTTGGGCACTGTTGCACCCTATGGGAGTACTGCTTCCCACGATGCAATGTGCTTGACTTAGCTTTCTATTTCTAGTTAATGAATGAAGTGGAACATTATTTGATCAAACTGCCTAATGACATGTTTCACAAATGAAGGGAACTAAAGTTTTTATGATTGCACATTGCCTATTTCTTAATATTTTGCAAACTTAGCAGGCAGTATTCAATTTATACTGTGCAGTATTTAGTAGTATGCTTGCACTCTATACTGAAC